GGCTTTGCTTGGAGATTTGACGTAGCTGCTGTCTGTCTGCATCATTCTGAACAACAGACCAAAGAAACACATCAAAGTTACAAAATAATAATTCAATAATTGATGCACAACAGCTTACTGTGTTTTTGGCATCTGAGCTGTGCAGACCATTGTTTTTCTGGAGTTCTGGGGACACAGTGTAAAGTATTTAGTATTCACTGCTCATCCAAAGACTTACTGTATGATACTGCACGTGTCTGTATAAGCAAGTTTAGCACAAGAGAGCTTAAAATCATCTTTTCCTCTCTCCAGGTCAGTCAGTCGGTGGACTTTCAGCAGTGACATGATGGCAGCAGCAGCACCTGGTGAGTCCAGACAGACTGCAGGTGAGTCCTGCAGCCTGCTGAGATCAGATTCATTGTTTATACTGACAGGAGTGTGAAAAATGGTTGGCACTGTTGGCCTTTGGTAACTTACTGTGATTCTGACCATGCAACACACCTGTTCACCTGTAGGAAGAAAAAAAACCATGATAATAATAATAATTCTCTGTTTTGTAAACAGAAAAAGAAATATGATGAGTTTTTTTTCCACTTTTTGTTGAATTAGTTTTCTCTTAAAAACAAACATAAAGAACATTTATGTTCAGCACATAAATCAGCTCCAGATGAAACTTGAGACTCTGCACACTAAACCACCAGCTTCAACCAGAGAGGAGAGACTCGTCACTGAACTTTTCCAGGACGGAGGTTGCAGGAGTGATTCACACATTTACACTCAGCATTATAATTTGCTGCTTTAAATTTCTGAATAACCTGAAGCTGGTACAGGCAGAGCTTTATCCTCTCTGAAGCAGCCACTGAATCGAGCTGTGATGCTGAGTTAGAGTGCAGCCCTTTGATGAACCTTCGTTGGCTTTGCATGAACGCCTGCTCCAGGAGGCGTTTCAAGAAACTTGCTATGGATTGCACAAGTTGTGTTATGTGTTACACTAATGCACTAATGTGACGTCCATAAAGTTTCTCAAACTCACATTGAACTGCAGTCAGGGACTGAAAAACCTGCTAAGCAGCAGCTTCGGTGTTGGCGAGCCAGGCGAGTGATCGTCTTACAAAAACTGTAAAGTCTGAGCTTTCACTGATGCCCAAGCAATGATTATGTGTACACACACACACACACACACACACACACACACACACACACACACAGAGTGTTTATTTACTTATCATCACTGAAAATAAATGATTTTAGGAGGAAATAACATTTAATGAGCTAATTGAAATATAATAATTGATGATTTAATTTGAATCATTTTTATTTTGTACTGATGTAAGCTGTGAGCTCTGACAGCTTGGGTTAAATATTGATCCGTATGTGTTGAAACTGTCTGTGTAAAGGTGATGCCAGAGCAGTTAACAAACTAAACTTACTTTTGCTAGACTGAATTTTTTTTTAAAACTTTATTCCCGTAGCATTTGTAGATTCTTGTGTTTTCAGCCTGAAATTGTAAATTGGAGCACTGATTCATGTTTCTGTATTTTTGCAGATTATGATTTCAACAAACCAGAACACAGCAGCTCAGAGTCTGAGGACTGTAAGTCAAACTAACAATGCTGCACGACAAAATTATTTAAACTGTTTGACTCCACAGCTAGTCACAGTCAGTGTTGGGAAGGTTACTTTTAAAACGTATTCCACTACAGATTACAGATTACAGATTACATGTCCCAAAATGTATTTCGTAACGTATTCTGAATACTTTGGATTACTTTGTAAAAAGCATGATAATGAATGTGATGTGCTCCCACTTCCCTCGTTAACCCTCTGTGTATTTATGTCTGCGCCTCCCTCAGTTCGGTGTCGTAGTCTCCCTCATAGCTGTGTGATTTTTCCCTGTGGCTCCTCGTGCTTTAGTCTCCCCAGTTTAAGTTTAGTACTGTTTTTGTGTTTCACTTTATGCCAGCATTAAAGCTGTGTTTTTGAGTTTACGTTTCGTCTCCGTGAGTTTGCGTTTGGGTCCTTCTCCTGCCTGCCACACAGCCGAAACATGACAGAAGACTACGACCATTACATGGACCCAGCAAACCGCTCTCAGCTGCGTGAGCGTCAGGATGCTGCCTTTGCTGAGCTAGAGGAGGAGCTCCGCTTGAGGCCGTGGCGCACTCCTGACTACGGGCGGATTTTCCGAGGAACGCGGCTGGCTCTCGGTGGTCCCCGGAGCTGCCGAAAGCCCCCACCTGCCGCTTCACCTGCACCCAAGCCGCGGCCGCTTCAGGTGGGAATTCTCCGCGTCCCTTCAATTGCTCACGCTCCAGCCTCGGTGTCACCGTTCTGTGCACCAGGGGCTCAGTCGCTCGCTCCGCCAGCTTCCTCTGTTCGCAGGAAGCGGCGCGCACGCCGCCATAAACCGGACATCGCTGAGCAGCTCACGGTGGTGAGTGACAATGACTTTTATTCTCACGTCCCGTCTGACATTAACAGTAATCAGCTCACTTCCGATCCATGGGGTATTTCCCTTATGGATGATGACGTGGACTGGGAACAGTTATTTTGCTTTGCTCCCTCTGAACAGGGAGAGATTAAAGACAATACCCGCTTGCCTAGGACTGTAAATGCTGTTAAAGGGAAAACTGTGAACCACTCTACCAGGTCAAACACACTCAGTTCCGGTTCCGTCTGTTCGGGTTTTGTCAGGTCTGGTTCAGTCATCCCCAAGTCAGCTCACTCTACAACTGTTAACCCAAGGATTTCAAAAACTATTAAAACAAGGACTGCTAATACTAAGACTGCAAAACATGAAGTGGACGGCGGGTTCATTTTTGATAGATCTATTTTTGTCGACCCTGAGCCTGCTGTTTCTAAGACTGTTTTTTCTGAGCCTGCTCCTTTTCCTGCTCGTGTTTCTCCTCCCGGGGCAGCTCGGGCCCGGCGTACCTCTGCACCCGTACCAGTTCCTCGGGTGGGGGAGGCTGAGGCCCAGTTGGTCCCCGCTCTGGTTTCCAGGCCGGCTGAGGCTCTGTCCCTTTCTGCACCCGTACCAGCTCCTCGGGTGGGAAGGGCAGTTGCCCAGCCGTTGCCGGTGCCTGTTCCGGTCCCCAGGGTGAGGTCAGCCAGGATACAGCCCGTCTCCGCACCCGTACCTACTCCTCGGGTGGGAGTGGCCAGTGTCCGGCATGTGCCTGCACCCGTCCCTGTTTCTACTAAGGGCTCAGGAGAATTCGGTCTACAATCCACACCGCCATCACTACTGCATGCCTTTCAGTCTTTAGCTCAGTCATTAGCGCTGTTAGCAGCCCAGTCTAGTACACTTTCCTGTGCTTCCGTTAGCTCAGCCTTTAGCCCACTGTGCAGCTCAGTCATTTGCTCCATCACCTGCTCAGCCTTCTGTTCAGCCGGTGGTCTCTGCACCTACTGGTCATGCCACGTCAGCTGGAGGGCCCGAGGAGCCCGTCCAGCAGCCTTCCTCGTCAGCTGGTGGTTCCGGAGAACCACACCAGCCTCACGCTTCGTCAGCTGGAGGGTCCGAGGGGCCCGTTCAGCCTCCTGTCTCCGCTGGAGGGTCCGAGGGGCCCGTTCAGCCTCCTGTCTCCGCTGGAGGGTCCGAGGGGCCCGTTCAGCCTCCTGTCTCCTGTCTCCGCGCCACGTTATTGTTTACATGAGATGAATTTCAACAATGGCGGATAAAGACAAAAATACTTGCTGTTAATCTGATCTATCTGCAGTTTTCACAGCTTACATATACACACACACAGTTACTGTCCCTCCATTTAAGAAAGACAGAGGCGTCAGAGTGAACTTCGGACGTGGCTTCTACATTCAACACAGACGTTGTCACACAACCCAAATCCCACAGTCGTTTTGAATAAATGTAATTTTTTTAATTACATTTCTGTATGCTCTATGCATGTGGTTCATTCCTAACGTTGTGAGTCTAGACAACAGCCAAAATACTGTCTTTAGTTATTAACATTTGAAATATGAAGGCACTTGAAAATGGTACTTGCACGCAAAATTAGCTGCCTTTCAGAAAAACAAAAACTTTTCAGAAGTACTGAAGGTTTTGTCAGGATACAAAACCTGTTTACTCTTTCCCTCCCAGGCTTCTATACTTCCGATTGGCTAACATTTCATTTTTACTGTTTACATGTGGAAGGGAGATATTTTTCTCTTT